GGCCACGGCACTCCAGTCTGGGGGACAGAGTGAGACTCCAACTCAAAAAAAAAAAAGAAAACACAAAGGAGATTAATGCTGATAATCAGGCTGAGACTAAAAACGAGCATGTCCCGGATGTACACTGCATGCTTTGAAAGTGCCCAATGCAAGCTAGGCATGGTGGCTCATGCCTGTCATCCCAGCACTTTGGGAGGTGGAGGCAAGAGGATTGCCTAAGCTCAGGAGTTCGAGACCAGCCTGGGCAACTTGGCGAGACCTCCTCTCTATAACAAATAAAAAAATCAGTCAGGTGTGATGGTGCACACCTGTGGTTCCAACTATTTGGAAGACTGAGGTGGAAGGATTACCTGAGCCCAGCAGATTGGGGCTGTGGTGGTCGTGAGCATGCCACTGCACTCCAACCTGGGAGACAGAGTGAGACTCAGACTCAAATAAAAAAAGAAAGTGCCCAAAGGGGACTTATGGGTGTGGGTGTTCTAATTCCCCAGTCTCCTCTGTGGGGAAACGATGCCCAGTAAGCTGGGCATGATGACTTATACCTGTCATCCCAGTAATTTGGGAGGCAGAGGTGAGAGGACTGCCTGAGCCCATGGGTTCAAGACCAGCCTGGGCACTTGGCGAGACCTCATCTCTACAATAAATCAAGAAAACTTAGCCGGGCATGGTGGCACATGCCTGTGGTTCCAGCTACTTGAAAGACTGAGGCAGAAGGATCCCCTGAGCCTAGCAGGTAGAGGCTGCGGTGGCCGTGAGTGTGTCCCTACACTCCAGCCTGAGCAACAGAGAGACTCCGACTTAAATAAACAAACACATACATAAATAAAGCCAACTTAAAAGAAAATATTAGGCACACAACATCAGTATGTATTTCTTTAATTCAGGGAGAGGACTTTTTTCCTCCTTTACAAGGTCTGACAATGAGGTTCGTGAACCATCCTAGAAAAAGTGCTCCACACCTCATTGCTGAATATCACCACGTTCCCCTTCGAAGTCCTTCCCTTGGGAACCTAGGCGTCAAGGCCAGCACCTGGTCCACCTGTCAAAGCAATTTTGGCACTCCTTTTTCGGAATAGCCATCAGAGCTGTTGTTGTTTTTTGTTGAGGTCTGACGATAAGTTTGCCGACTTGCCTCCGTGAGCTTATGTTGGCAGCACTGTACAGATAACTGTTTGGGAACACCCTCCCTACTCACCTGATCTGACTCCTAATGACTTTTTTCTTTACCTGAAGATAAAGGAAATATTGAAAGGAAGACCATCTGATGACATTCAGGACATCAAGGGTAATAGGATGACAGCTCTGATGTCCATTCCAGAAAAAAGAGTTCCAAAATTGCTTTGACAGGTAGACTAGGTAAAGGCATCGGTGCACAGCTTCCCAAGGGGAGGATTTTGAACATGACCGAAGTGATACCCAGCAATGAGGTATGGAGCACTTTGTCCAGAATGAGTTTGTGAACTTAATTGTCAGACCGTGTATTTACTGTATTTTCTAGAACACTAAGGTTCACAGTTCATACCTTTTTGTCAGTAAGTTCAGTATCTTCAACTAGTATCCAAAAGAATAAATGAATACTACAAATACTAAAGTAACAGTATCAACCTAAGTAGACACTAAAATAAGAAATCCATGTATCAAGTAACGTAACAGTATCAACCTAAGTAGACACTAAAATAAGAAATCCATGTATCAAGAGAAAACACATGAACTCGGATTGGGTGGCTCACACTTAGAATCCCAGCACTCTGGAATACCAAGCCAGGAGGACTGCTCGAGGCCAGGCATTTAAGACGAGCCTGGGCAACACATAAGATCTTATGCCTACAAAAAAATTAAAATAATAAAAATAAAAACTGCCGGGCATGATGACATACACCTGTAGTCCCAGTTATTCAGGAGGCTGAGGTGGGAGGATTGCTTGAGCCTAGGAGTTTGAGGCCACAGTCAGCTATGCACTACACTCCAACTTGGGCCACAGAGCAAGATCCTGTCTCTCTTTTTAAAGAAAGAAAGAAAAGGAAAAAAACTCACAGCAAAATAACACACACCAGTGACCACCTCTGAGACCTCATGTCCAGCAGTGAAGATGCTCTGGTGAAATACTCGGTCTTAAAAAATCCCCAAGCGAGGAGGAGAGACGTGTGAGATGGTTATACTGTCAAGGGGATGTGAGGCTTGCCACGTTCTTGTACGGAAGGGATGACACGGTCCCACCAGAGTCTGCTAGGGTTTCAAGGGCAGCCGCCTCACTCCAACCTCGGCCCTGCACAGAGACTCTGGCAGGGGCCTGCAGAGCATGCTGGGATAAGCACATTTGGCCAAAGGAGATGAAGTGACTATGCAGAGCTGGACGCTGGGTGAAGAGGTTAGACAACCCTGGGTCCCAAACCACCCCTGGCCCAACTCCTGCTGCCTATAGAATCACATAACCTTCTCTTCTCCCTTAAATTCTGGGATTACAGAACATATAGAAAAGAGGGAGAGGAGATCAAGGAGAAGGAGCTTCAGCTAAGAGACCCAAGAGATTCAAAAGCTATACTTGCTGTAAAAGAAGCGTTCATTGCATTTTATATATCCCTACCTCATGTTCACTATATTTTATAAATTCTTACTATTTTAAATCCTACCTCAGACCCCATAGAACTAGGCACATGTCGGGTGCTGGGTAGTAACTGACTGTATAGTTATACAACGTTTTAAGCGGTGTTTGTACTTAGAACTTTGTTAAGCTTTTGTTTGTCCCAATTGCCATGCTGGCTTCTTCTGCTTCTGTAACGGGCTGTAAAAGTTAAGCGATAAGCCCCTTCCGGGCATTCCTTTGCTTAAATTGTGGTAGACTCTGTAGTGCCAGCCACTCTCCTGGTGGGCTCTGTAATGTTTCTAACCTCCGGCTCGCATGCCAAAGTTAATTTACGCGCAGTGACTGTGTAAACCTAGCTTATCTGGCATTCCACTCTGCCCGTTTAGCCGTTTCCCGTCAATCACAGGCAACCGAGCTCGAGCCCGCGCAAACCAACAACAAACTAACCAATCTCAAGCACCTCTGTCCCTTGACATCACTGCGGACCTGACTGGGGACTAATTATGCAAGGTCCCCGGACTTCGGTGTCACTACCTCTTTTAATTGGTTAATATTGCAAGCCCAGGAAAAACCAGTCACGCCCAGCCCCTCCCTTTGTAATTGTGCATAAAAACTGTTTGCCAGGCTGGATCGGGGCTCTCAAGCTCGAGCCGCTGTGTCGGTTTCAGTTTGTGAGCCCAGACTCGAGCCTGAATAAAAACCCTCGTGTGTTTGCATCGGAGCTGGCTCTTTGGTGGTCTCTCGGATTTAGAATTTTGGGTTTAACACAGCCCATTCCAGTCCCAACCTTCCACGACCTCATTGCCTGTGGAGAGGCCACGACACCCCAGTTCTATCTTAGGCTGGTAAGGAGAGACAGCAATAAGACATGAATGGCTGCTTTCTAAACCCCAGATGGAACCTCCAAAGCCTTTTAAACTCCGACAGAAATGCAGCTTGGCTTTCTTAGCATTGAGAAGCAAAGAGCATTATTGACAGGGACACCAGCTCCATAAATAAGAGAGGGAGAGGAGGGCAGGCTCGCAGGCCCCTCTTAGGCCAGCCTATGCATTACCTCCAGGATGGCAGCTGACATGCCTTCAGAGACAGAGCTGTTGACCACAGCGAAGCAATTCTTCACCACGGCGTGGAGGTCCTCCCGGGGCATCTCTCCTATCAGGCGGACCCCAGCAGCCCTGGACGACACAGACGGACAGAGCAGGTTACTTCCAGGCCCTCTGGGGCAGGAGCCGGCAGGAGAGACGGCCACCCAGGAGAGACGCCCAGGTAGTCAAGAAGGAAGTGTGGCTGACACAGGGCCAGTAAGGACTACTGTGCATGGGTGAGAGTCCCTTACGGCTCACACCCCTGGTGGAGGGATCTGCTAACACATCTGGTTTTGTTCTGACGAAGGAGACACCAGCTCCCAAAGACTGGAAGGGTCAGAAAGAAGGTTTTCACTATTTTCTTTGTTATTGACTTCAGAAATTTTTCTAATTTTTTTTTTTTTTGAGTTGGAGTCTCACTCTGTCACCCAGACTAGAGTGCAGTGGCCACTCCCGGCCACCGCAGCCTTGACCTGCTGGGCTCCGGTGATCCTTCCGCCTCAGCCTTCCGAGTAGCCGGAATTATAGGCGCGCACTACCACGCCCGGCTGATTTTTGATTTATTGTAGAGATGAGGTCTCGTCAAGTTGCCCAGGTGGGTCTCGAACCCGCGGGCTCCGGCAATCCACTCACCTCAGCCTCCCAAAGGCGCGAGATTACAGGTTGAGCCACCGAGCCTGGCTCTAAATTTTTTCAGGGTGTCATGCCATCCTCCAGGCTAGAGTACAGTGGCATGATCATAAATCATTGTAGCCTCAACATCCTGAGCCCAAGGAATCCTTCCAACTCAGCCTCTTGAGAAGCTGGGATGACAGGAGTGTGTCGCCATGCCCAGGGAGTTATTTTTAAAGTTTTTTATAGAGATGGGGTCTTACTCTATTGCCCAGGTTGGTCTGAAACTCTTGTCCTCAAGCAATCCTCCCACCTCACCTTTTTTTTTTTTGAGTTGGAGTCTCTGTGGCCCAGACTGGAGTGCAGTGGCCACTCCTGGCCACTGTAGCCTCGACCTGCTGGGCTCTGGCCACCTTCTGCCTCAGTCTTCCACATAGCTGGAACTACAGGCGCATGCTACCATGCCTGGCTAATTTTATTTATTGTAGAGATGAGGTCTTGCCAAGTTGCCCAGGTGGGTCTCGAACCCACGGGCTCAGGCAATCCACTCACCTCAGCCTCCCAAAGCGCGGGATTACAGGCTGAGCCACCGAGCCCAGCTGACACTCAGATTTTTTAATGTGAAAACCTCAATCAGGTTAAGCCAGTACTGTCAGGCTCCCAGCAGACAAATGCAACTTATAACCAACACACTGACAAACTGTTCCCGAAACAGGCTGTTGACTGGGCATGGTGGCTCATGCCTGGAATTCTAGCACTTTGGGAGGCCAAAGCAGGAGGATTGCTTGAGCCCAGGAGTTCGAGACCAGTTCAGACAACACAGTGAGACCTAGTCTCTTAAGAAAAAAAAAAAATGAGCTGGGTGTGTTGGTGCATATCTACTTGGGAGGCTGAGGTGGAATCACTCAAACCCAGGAGCTGGAGGCTATGGTAAGCCATGATCGTGCCACTGCACTCCAGCTTGGGCAAGAGAGTGAGACCCTGACTCACCCAATCAATCAATCAATCAATAAACAAAGAGGCTGTAGCAAGGTTGGCTATACGTTTCCTTGCAGTGTCCAGGTTTTCCTAGGATCACCGGAGGATTAAATGAGGTGGTGCTTGTACACAGCTCGAAATGGAGCCTGGGTCTGTATAAATGTGATCTGGGACAGTTTATTGATCACTCAGGTTTCTTCTTCTGCAGAATGCCTGTCCTCCATCCACCCTTACCTGTTCACTTTGGCTTTTACTTCCCTTGTAAACACTGGATCAACCTGAAAAGAGACAAAGCAAAACGTTAGTAAAAGCCTGAAATAAGTCACCAGAGTCTCCAGAGAATTCTGTATAATGGCAGAGATTCAACAAGTCGGGGTGGGGGGGGTAGTGGGAAGCAATAAATAGGGACTGGTACCCTGAGTCAAGCTATTAAATGATCTTAAAAATTAATAATAGAAAGAGAGATATATGGTTTCAAAGAAATACATGTATGCTCCCGGTTGGCCTGGCTAGGCCCAGGTGTGTTGGCTAAGAATGCTTCAACCTAAGACCGTGAACACAGTCGTTTATAGAAACGGGCTGACTTACCAACAGCACAGCAATGTGGGGAAGGGTTTGCAGGGAAGGGTTTGCTCCAAGATAAACAGTACACAACTCAGGCCCTGCTTCGAAGAACACACTCTGTCCAAATATATTAGATGGTGACTAATGAAAACACTGCCCCTGGCTTTTTAAAAAGTCAAAATACTGTAATCCCAGTCCTTTGGGAGGCCGAGGTGAGTGGATTGCCTGAGCCCGTGGGTTCAAGACCCACCCGGGCAACTTGGCAAGACCTCATCTCTACAATAAATCAAAAATTAGCCGGGCATGGTAGCGTGCGCCTACAGTTCCAGCTACTTGGAAGGCTGAGGCGGAAGGATCGCCGGAGTCTAGGTGGTTGAGGCTGCGGTGGCCGGGAGCCATGAGTGGATTTTTACAAAAAAAAAATTTCAGGCAGAATGCGTTGGAACCCTTAGTAAATCTATGACCGAGGGTCTGACCAAATTGAAATGTGATTTTTTCACAAGGAGTATTTCTCAGACATATAATTTGATAAACTGATGAAGGAATGAACCAACACATGTGATTCCTCACACATGGAGCATTAGTCAGCTGTGAAAAGGAAGTCCTGATCTATGCTACAACACAGGTGAACCCTGAAAACATGGTGCTGCTTCAGTTAAACCAGACCGTAAAGACCACCTATGCAAGATTCCATGGATACAAAATGTCTAGAACAGACAAATACGTAGAGATAGAAAGCAGATGAGTGGTCATAGGGAGATTCCTAAGGGACTAATCAGGGGTCAGGGGGTGAGGGGGAGTGAGAATTGACCACTTAGTGGACACAGAGCAGCCATTTGAGGTGAGGGAAATAAATATTCAGGAATTATACAGCAGTGGTGGCTGCACAACTGGATTAAAACCACTGGTACTAAAACCACTGGATTGTAGGCTTCAGAAAGGGGGAATTCTATCTTGACTTTTTATTGTTTATTTTTTTTGAATTGGAGTCTCACTATGTCACTTAGACTGGAGTGCAGTGGCACGCTCCCGGCCACCGCAGCCTCAACCACCTAGACTCCGGCGATCCTTCCGCCTCAGCCTTCCAAGTAGCTGGAACTGTAGGCACGCGCTACCATGCCCGGCTAATTTTTGATTTATTGTAGAGACGAGGTCTTGCCAAGTTGCCCGGGTGGGTCTTGAACCCACGGGCTCAGGCAATCCACTCACCTCGGCCTCCCAAAGGACTGGGATTACAGTATTTTGACTTTTTAAAAAGCCAGGGGCAGTGTTTTCATTAGTCACCATCTAATATATTTGGACAGAGTGTGTTCTTCGAAGCAGGGCCTGAGTTGTGTACTGTTTATCCTGGAGATTGATAATATGCTTGTTGAATTCATGTCAAAAATAATGGCCATGTTTTCAGTGATCTGCTACGCCAACAAAGTTTACCCCTTGAATACAGGCCCTATATGTTTAAACAAACTCATATGTGGATGTATAGAGACTGGAGAGAGGTGGCACACATGGAGGGGAGGCTCTGGACACAGACGGCCAAGGTCAAGTCTCCCCAAGCAACGTACTAGCCTCATGGGGATTCATGGACCCCTCTGGGTATCCGTGTGCTCATTTGTCAAATGGGAACAATAACAGTATCTTAGTATTGTTGGAAGGATTCAATGACTAGAAATACATAGTGTTTTGTCAGAACTGTGCCCAGGACACAGTAACTGCTGGGTAAGTATAAAACAAAAGTCAAATGTCCAAACTCTATTAGAAAACAAGAATGGGTCAGGCACGGTGGCTCATGCCTGTCATTCCAGCACTTCGGGAGGTGGAGGTGAGAGGACTGCCTGAGCCCAGGGGTTCGAGACCAGTCTGGGCAATTTGGTGAGACCTCATCTCTCCAATAAATAAAAACATTAGCCAGGTGTGGTGGCGTGTGCCTGTAATTCCAGCTACTTGGAAGGTTGAGGTGAAAGGATCGCCTGAGTCCAGCAGATTGAGGCTGCTGTGACTGTGAGTGTGCCACTGCACTCCAGCCTGGGTGACAGAGTGAGACTCTGACTCAAAAAAAAAAAAAAAAAAGAAAGAAAAAGAAAAAGAAAACAAGAATGAGAGGTACAGTGGTACCACAATACAAAAACATCTATAAGCTTAATTTCTATCACAGACTTCACAGCAAATTGGACAGAGGTGGAGACCATCATAGGAAGCAATCTACCATAGAAACAAAAAACCGAATACCACATGCTCTTATTCATAAATGGGACCTTACCATTAATTACAATCACACAAGGGAGGGATTGGCAGTGACAGGACACTGCCAGGGGAGGGAGGAAGTAGGGGCACTTGACAACCCAAAGAAGTGAGGACCAGCTGGAGGCACAAACTTCACCTGCACATAGATTACTTATGCATCTAATCTCGACTGGTACCCCAAATCACTATAATAAAATGAAGTTATAAAACTAAAAAAAAAAAATAAAAAGCTTAATCTCAGATGCATATGTTCCCAGTGGCACTGTCACTCTTCTGAACACTCCAGAACTGGGAGGTAGAGGGAAGTTTCTGGAACACCTGATAGAAATCCCTGCCTTCACAGGGGCAGTGTCCACCTTCCTGAACACCAAGAACCTCACCATGAGATCATCTGTGTGTTACCTCTTTCTCACATAAACTTACCCC